TCTCCCCTTAAAATTGGGGTTTTCTTTCTTTTCTTTGCTTTCCAAAATTTGGGTGTTACAATTATCTTCCTTACTCTTAAGGGTCTACCCTAAGAATCATCTATTCGTTCACTCTGTATTAGGCACTAAGACAATAGCTGCCAGGATTCTTTATTAGGCACTAAGACAATAGCTGCCAAGGCTCCTTCATAGAGCACTAATTCCATAGTTGCTATGGTTCATTCATCGGGTACTAAATCTATAGCTACCAGTGTAGGTACTAAGTCCATAGCTATCATCGTCTATCTAACAGTACTAAATCCATAGCTACCAGTGTTCGTCTATACGGTACTAAATCCATAGCTACCAAGGTTTATCTATACAGTACTAAATTCATAGCTACCAGCGTTCGTCTACACGATACTAAATCCATAGCTACCAAGGTTTATCTATACAGTACTAAATCCATAGCTACCAGCGTTCGTCTATACGGTACTAAATCCATAGCTACCAAGGTTTATCTATACAGTACTAAATCCATAGCTACCAGCGTTCATCTATATGGTACTAAATCTATAGCTACCAAGGTTTATCTATACAATACTAAATCCATAGCTACCAGCGTTCGTCTATACGGTACTAAATCCATAGCTACCAAGGTTTATCTATACAGTACTAAATCCATAGCTACCAGCGTTCGTCTATACGGTACTAAATCCATAGCTACCAAGGTTTATCTATACAGTACTAAATCCATAGCTACCAGCGTTTGTCTATACGGTACTAAATCCATAGCTACCAAGGTTTATCTATACAGTACTAAATTCATAGCTACCGAGGTTTATTCTTTACAGTACTAAATCCATAGCTACCGAGGTTTATCTTTCGTCTCATCCTCAAACTTATCCTTCATCACACACCAACTAGTTCGTCTACCCATATTCTACCCAACATATTTGTAGATATAAAATACATATGCAATTTAACTCATTTAAAACCTATATAAAACATCCATTCCACGCTTATCTCAAATAAACCACAATATATAAACACATAACACGTATTTCGTAGCATATACTTAATACTTATGTGTTAGAAGAAAGTAACTATACACTCACACCAAACATATACTTAATACATTCAAACAATACTTGTATTAAAATCGTGTTTATGAAAGGGACTATACACCCATGCATATAAACAACTTTATATTATACACATAGCACGTATTTCATAGCACATACTTAATATTTATGTGTTAGAAGAAAGTGACCACACACTCACTTGATCAGAAGGTGATCGGACAGCACTACGACTTGTAGAAGTAGTATTCTTCGGTGAAACCGGGATCACTTCACACACCGGGTTTCTCGCGGGTAGAGATTCAGCTCGGAAACTCTTTTCTTCTCGAGATCTTCGGACTTCAGGACTTGCTTCGGGTCTCGGGATGATACCGGGGCTACGGGGGTATTCTTTGCACATAAATCGAGGTAATATGGGTGAGAGATGAGAGAATGAGCAACCAAACTCGGCTGACCCTTCAAATCTATTTATAGGGAAAAACTAACTCTTGCCACGTCGTGGCACATTTTGCCACGTCGTAGGCTTGGTCGTCACTGCATGCGTCATCTCAAGTTGTATTTGGGGGACTCCCGGAGGTGTCAGAAGACCTGCCACGTCGTGGCACTGCTTGCCACGTCGTGGTATTTGATAGTTTTGGGGTTTCACGCCCTGAACTTCAGAAATTCATAACTTTCTCATACGAACTCCGTTTTCGACATTCTTTATATCGACGCGTAGGTGAGATTATTCTCTACAACTCACATTTAGACTCCTTTGGCTAATTTTGACTTTATTTTAAATATATTATAAGTATATTACTTATATATTATCTTTAGTAGGCCGGGACAAGAAAACTCCGTTCAAAATTCATAACTCCTTCATTTGAACTCCATTTTTGTCTGTTTTATATCGTTGGAATACTATCAAAGACATCTTCGAATCTCATTTAGATCACTAAGGATAGATATCAATCTACCTTAAATTCATTGTTTACGTTGCGCTGGGTCGTGCCGGTTCTGTCACGAAACTTCGACAGGTCATAACTTCTTCTTTATAACTCGGATTTTGGTGTTCTTTATATGCACGGAAACCTTGTGACATATACTAAAACTTGGTTAATATTAATTCTTCTAAATAATATTCCATCAAAAAGTCATTTTTGATGCTTATCGTCTCTAAATTGACTAGCCCGGATCTACGGGCGTTACACATACTACCTTCCACACCTACTCATATTTACATCAAGTATCACCACAACACCCTAAAGATGAACTAGCATAACAAGCAACAAATCCTCGATCCTAGAGGAATACTAAACATCTCATACTGACCTACCAGTCCCATAACTCACCGATCATGAAACTTCCACCAACTCCTACAGCACTAATGTATGCTAGTCATACATAATACTGGACCCAATAGACTTTCGAATATCCAATTCTACCCTAAGCTCCCAATCAAACAAGAACAGAACAAAAGGCCAAATCAAACATTCTCAGGCTATAAGATCTTAATTATGTATAACTATGATGCATACACTAAATAACTGCAGTAATGATGTCAATTCCATCACAAAAGAACCCTAGGCTAGCAAGCATCATATAATCAGGCAATTCCATCATGCAATTCCTGAAGATCCCTAGCCTAGTACTAGCATATTGTTCTATCATATCACATAAACAATTAACTTGTATGGTATTTTTGGGGCTACTTATTGGCTCCGACTGATTTTACCTCCGCGTCCTCCTTTACTGATTTTTTGAAAACCATTTTAAATTTTCTTTTGAAAACTCTCCTTGATTTGAGACTGGATTCACACGAATGTTCCTACAATTCACTCAAACCAAGGCTCTGATACCAACTTGTAACATCCAATATTTCAATCAAATTTAAACTTTTAAGAACATGTCATGTTCATCAAAACATTACAAATTTAGTTTTCAAAACATTGATTATAAGAGTCTTTTCCCAGAAACATAACAAAGTAGGAGGAGCTGTACGATCACGCCTTGTCCTTGCCGCGATCCCCTGAGGTACCTGAAACCATAAACTGAAACTGTAAGCCCGAAATCTTAGTGAGTCGCCCCAAAATACCGATACAAATACAGTCCACATAGCAATAACAACATTAGCATATCATATCACTCAAAACAAAACAGCATACACTGGGTCCCTAGCTTTAAAAGCTGGACTACCCCCAAGCCCTCAGTACAAGTCTGGAATGTCTACCGGGACCTCAGCTCGTATCTGGAATGCCATTGATCCCTCAATACGAGTTTGGAATGCCTACCGGGCCCTCAGCTTGTGTCTAGAATGCCATCGAACCCTCAGTACGAGTCTGGAATGCCTACCGGGCCCTCAGCTCGTATCTGAAATGCTCCCGAGTCCTCAGTATGGGTCTGGAATGCCTAACGGGCCCTCAACTCATATCTGAAATACTCTCGGGTTTGTTGGCTATCGCACGAAGCAGTACAACCTCAACCCACCCCACACAACATGTCGACATGTAACAGATAAATGCACATACACGTAATCAATCAGTATCACAGGCAATCCTACAGATCTACCCGACTAGCATATCAATTGGCATACACTACTAACTCAACTCAACATATCAATAACTACTAGGATATCAAATCCACTAGGTCGACCTTGGTGCCTTAAACCCCTTAGTATAGTGAGGATAACTCACCTCGCAACTACTGACTGGAAAGATAAGATCACGCTGCTCCAACCTTCGACATGAACTCTACCACTGATCAATACCAAAAGACTGAACTCCATAAATACCAATAATTACAAAAATACCCTTGGAAGTCAGCTGGTCAACTCTTGGTCAAAGTCAAAGTCCTTAGTCAAAGTCAAACTTCCTGACTGACTCTACTCGCCGAGTCAGCCCGCTGACTCGTCGAGGCCCTAGGCCCTGAACACTCCCATATCGCGACCCAACTCGCCGAGTCGCCCTAAGACTCGCCGAGTCCCACAAACTCTGAGTCACCTCTTGCTCAACTCATCGAGTCGTCCCTGGACTCACCGATTTATAGCTCAACCAAAAAGGTTTGGATTCCACGACCAGACTCGTCGAGTTGTTCTTCGAGCTCGTCGAGTTCCTGCTTATCTTCATCCAACTCGCCGAGTACAACCATGTGACTCGCCGAGTACACCCATGTGACTCGCCGAGTACCTCTAGTTCTTAACCCATGCAGTGGCTTTTTAAGCCATTATGGAGCTCCAATCCATAGATCTACCCTTCCACAAGCTATTCCTCACGTAAAGTAGAAAACTTTACATGAATCCAAAGAGATCTAAGCATAAAACACTCTTAGGCTAGGGTTTAGGACAAGAAGGCTTCACTAACAACTCTTGGGCATGAACTTTATGGCTTCCTGGACCATTACAATCCTAGATCTGAGGTACCAACCTCAGATCTTACACCAAACTCAAGATGGACCTCATTTATGCTCCAAAAACCCCACAATTGATAAATCTAGATGCACAAAAGCTCAAGAACAGATCTCTTACCTCCAATGGTAGCTCCCACTGGAGAATGAACCAAATCTCTGCAAAGCCCCTTGCTCCAAATCTCCTTTCTCTTCAATTCCCCTCCAAGATTTCCTCCTCCAAGGCTCTAATTACTTATAGAGGAAAGCTCACACGAATCCAGGGCTTCTGGAACTCAAAGGGAAGGTAAAGACGATGGGGGAAAAGATGTTAGGGTTTTTATATAGAGCACAACCCCGAAAATTAGGGTTCTCTCCACCCAGCACCAACTCGCCGAGTCACTCCTCCGACTCGCCGAGTTGTTCACTTAACACAAGATAAGATTTGCGACCCGACGCGCCGAGTCTACCCATTGAGTCGTTGAGTCGGTCTTCCATATTTACACTAAGCACCTTGAACTTTGCTCTTCTGAACTCGGGGTGTTACAACTGCAACCCGCAGACCTCCAACCATCATTCCTAATCCTCCCGCTTCAACTGCAACTGCAGGTGCTTCCAGCTTATCTCGTCCCATTCCTTTTTCTGAACACAACCTTTACATGGGCGAATTTGCACGTTTAGACCATCATTACACTAGCTTACATCAGACGGTAAGAGAGATTTACACGGGAGTTGCTGAAAACACTTCAGAATTTCAAGACCACCGTAATCTTCAGGAAGAGTGTTGGGCCCAGCAGGAGTTGTGGTGGGCTGAGTTCGATCAGTGATGGGTAGCTCAAGAGGAACACAACCATAATGTCCATTATTTGATGAGTGACCTTCACTGAGTGTTTGTCCTTCCCACGCAGTAGCAACCATCATCATCCCAATCCCGGGGGCCTCCATATTATCCTACTTATTATCCTTCACAGTTCCCACCATATCCACCACCGCCCGACTCTTAGTAGGTGTAACAACCCAAAACACAACCCAAAAATTTTTGTTTAAATAATACTAAGGTCATCAACTATTTATAATATATCATGAAATTGTATGTCATAAATCCCAAAAAGTTATAATAGATGTGTCATAACAAAAGAAGTGTAACATCATAACATAGTATCTGAATTAAACTCCCATGAAAAAAGCTAAAGTTGTGGTGTGTGCAGTGTCATTATCCCGAGCTCTTCCCTTTGCTTGTGGATGTAACTGAAACCAAAACTTAAACTGTAAGCACAAAGCTTAGTTGGCTACCCTAAACTACCACATACCATACAATAATATATAAAGCACATACTGGGCCTTGCCTACTGCATCGGACCGAAGTCCAGAAACTAACCAGGGCCTTGCCCTCTGCATCGGAGCGAACTCTAGAAACTGCATCGGACCGAAGTCCGGAACTAAATGGGACCTTGTCTCCTGCATCAGACTGAAGTCCGAAACTAATTGCATCGGACAGAAGTCCGGAACTGATTAGGACCTTGTCCCCTACATCGGACCGAAGTCCAGAACTGACTGAACATGGCATAGCATAAACACATATATGCTAGTATAAACACATATATTGCATACTACATTATACCAAAGTCTGGAACATATAACACAAAGATATGCTTGAATCACAAAGACATCAAGCAATCTAACTACTGCATCGGACTAAGGTCCGGAACTACTGCTAACTAAACAGGCCACCATAGTGGCCGTAGACCCGTTCCTACTAGAAGGACACTCACCTCGTAGTGCTGGCTGCTAAGATGCTAACTCTAAAAGTGGATGACTGCTGCTCTGAAACTATCCGGCTACAAATTCCAGAAACAATAGATCAGTTACTGGTAAACGCTCTCAGGGTAAAATTACTTTTTTACCCCTAGTCAAAGTCAACTCCCTAGTCAAAGTCAACTTCCAGTTGATCGGACTCGCCGAGTCACGGCGCAGACTCGTCGAGTCCCTTCTTTACTAACTCTGACTTTAAGTCACCGAGTCCTCTTTCCCACTCATTGATTCACCCTGAACTCACAAACCAAAGAAAGACGGGGACTCACGACTCGACTCGTCAAATCCGAAGAACAACTCGCCAAATCGTGTCGTGCAGATTCCATGCAATCGATTTCTAATCCATTCCAGAGCATCTAACTCGTAGATCTGAGCCCCTGGAACCATCTGAACACATAAAGTTGCTAACTTTACGTGTAATTAAGAAGGAATGAAGCTATTTCACTCAAACACTACTTTTTCTCAGGAAAACTCATCAGACTCGCCAAGTTGTTCAAACAACTCGTCGAGTCTAAGGCAATCTACATCGGACTCGCCGAGTTGCTCATCTAACTCGTCGAGTCCACGACTATCTTCATATGATGCGCCGAGTCAAACTTGCGACTCGGCGAGTCCATTCAGTCCCTTTTCCATACAGACCTGATTTGAGCTTGCAGCGGCTCCAAATCACAGATCCAAGTTTCTAGGGCATACTTATCACGTAAAGTTGAAAACTTTACGTGCATGCATGGATTTAAAGGATTCAAATGACAAAACTAAGCTCTTAATGGGGTTCTAAGCTCAAGAGCGACCTCAATCATGATTTTGAATGAAACTTTACACTTCTATAATACAATAAGGGTCCAGATCTGAAGTTTCCATAAAAAGGGGAGTCCATGTCTCAAGTTTGAATTATAAGAGGCTCCAAAGAAGGCATAACAAGCTTTTTAATGGAGGAATGCACAAGGTCAAATCTTCATTACCTGAATGAGAAACAGATGGAAGCTAACTCCTGGATCTCCCTTCTCTTCTATGGACCTTCTTTCCTTCTTTCTCTTCCCAAGGCTTCCAAGCTAGCACAAACACACTCAAACTCAACAATAAGGCTAGGGTTTACAGGGGAAATGTTCTGAGAGTGATAGAGGTGAGGTTGGGGGCGTATAAATGTGTTTAAATAGGGTGTAAACCCTTAAAATTAGGGCTTCATCTAGACAGTCGGACTCGCCGAGTCCCAGCGTGTCACACCCCCAAACCTGAACGGCGGAAACGTTCGGGGGCGGATGACTTCATGTGGTAGCGTAACAAGTGAATACATAGTAAAGAAAGTAATACAACCATCATATATATAATTGAAAGTTTACATTTGTCAAAAGTTACATGTTCAAAACCAATTACAAATATGATGTCAAAATATGAGATTAAACTGGCACCGCAGCATCTCTTCATCAAAAGCATAATGATACTTGTAGTTACTGAATCCCTAGGACATACAAGTAATTTTGAAAGAGTAGATCAGCATTTAAGCTGGTGAGTTTCATAAGTATTTAATGACAATGTTTGTATGAAACGAAATATCTTGTCCTTGTTTGTTTGTGTTTAGAAAATCCTGCATTTTCTACTAGTATAAAAGTAGTCTTCCTTCCAGACCAAAGTTTGTTTCCAAAATGTACGTAAGTGTAAAAGTAACCAATATGTTTGAAAACCTCATAAATCAATGTATTTTTAATACCTCCTGTGAGCTTTATAACCATACTATTGACTCGGAATGCCTATACACAACGTTCTTCAGGCGTTGGAATGTTATGATGTTTGTCACCCCAAACAGTGGACTGTAGCTAACAGTCAGGGCGCGGGTTGTCAAGCCCGTATAGATCTATACACAAACACCATGCTCCCCCTCCAAGGGATTCTGGTATATAATACAGGACTTGAAATGTGTACTCGAACGTACGTGAAGTAAATGTCTCACAGAACCGTAGTATAAAAACAGATTTACGTGTTGAAATGTTCGTTTGTTATGGTACATGAAAGTGATTTCTTGAAAATCGTGTTTCTAGTATGTAAAAGTTAGCAATATCCTTATAAAACTATACCTATTATATATGGTTTTCTAAAAGTGTGCCTCGTTTGTTTTAGAATATCTAGAAAAGGAATCACTTGTTATCAAAGCATAGATTTTTGTAGAGTCTAAGATAGACACATATACATTAAATCGAGGAAAAATGTTTAGTTTATACATGCGTTACAACCATTTATAGTTTTTAAAGATAGAATGCTATTGTAATATAGTTTTGTATACGGGAGTTCCCTATAAAGTTCGTAAATCACACATGATTCCACATAACAAAAGTGTATAAAAATCTTTATATATAACACCCGATAGTAGTCGTATGTTTTACTTGTATCCCCCCCCCCTTAGAAAGCATATAAAAGCGTTTAGAATATTTAAAAGGGTTAATTAAGGGTTATGAACTCACTTGATTGAAGTGGTTGATTTGAAGTAGTCGAGAGAAGAATCGAGCAGAACTTCGACAGGAAGAGTGAAAACGGGGAAAAATCTTGGGAATCTCGGGAACACAAAACCTTGCTTCGGGACTTGAAGGTGAAAACCGGGGCTTTGAGAGGGCTTCGGGAGCTTAACCGCAGAGTTTCAGCACGAGAGATGGAAGAATGGAGCACCTAAACCCGGCACCCCAAGAGCTCTATTTATAGGACTATTTCTGGTGTGCCACGTTGTGGCTAAGGTTGGCCACATCGTGGGGAGCAAGCCTTATCCTCTTCCGTTGATTGGATGCTCTCAGTCACTTGCCGGGTCGTGGCCAAGCTGTGCCACGTCGTGGGGGGCCTGTCAGCCTCGGATTTTGGACCCCGAGCTTGTAAAATCCGTAACTTTCGCATACGAGCTCCGTTCTCGACGTTCTTTATGTGCACGCGTAGCTGAAAATGTTATCTACAACTCTCGTTTAGACTTCATCGGCAAATTTTGACTTTATTTTTAATTATTTATTTTTAACGGGTCGGGACACGAAAAGTCCGTTAAAAATCCATAACTTCTTCATCCGGTGTCTGTTTTCATCATACTTTTCGCCGTTGCGCTACAAATGTTGATTCCTTAGATTATCATTTAGGTTGTTTTGGTCAAAAGGATCTCGAGCTCTATTTCGAGTTTTTTAGCTGTCTACTGCTATACCCGAATCTTGGAAAAATCATAACTTCCTCATACGAAGTCAGATTTGGACGTTCTTTTTATGTACGCTCACGGTTTGAGGTTATCTATAACTTTAATTTAGATACTTAAGGCTAAAAACTATTGTATTGAAACTTCGCGTTTTTCGTTTAATCGGTGTTGCCGGTTTTGTCGGAAATCTTAGAATGGTCATAACTTCTTCGTTATAACTCGGTTTTTCGTGTTCTTAGTATTTATATAAACCTTGAAACATTATCTAGCGTAATAGACATACTTATAGAGACTTTTAGACATTTCATTTTTGAAGTTAATTTCATTTATTTCAAAAGTAGCTACAATACTTGACGTTTTAGGTCATTACAAAGAGTTGAAATATCGGGTTGTCAATTCATCCACCGTTAGAGGGAATTTCATCCCGAAATTTAAAGTAGTAAAGACACTAGTGAACATGAAAGAGGTGAGGGTACTTTTGTTTCATCTGATCTTCGCGTTCCCATGTGAATTTAGGTCCCCGTTTGGCGTTCCAACGAACCTTAACAATGCGTATGCGACTTTGTTTTGTTTGTTTGACCTCTCGGTCCATGATTTCTACTGGTTCTTCCACAAAGTTGAGGCTCTCGTTGATCTCGATTTTGTCAAGTGGAATAACAAGAGTCGCATCGGAAAGACACTTTTTCAAGTTTGAGACGTGGAAGGTTGGATGTATGCTACTAAGTTCACGCGGTAGGTTAAGCTTGTAAGCCACAGGGCCGATTCTGGCAAGAATCTCGAAAGGCCCTATGTATCTTGGATTTAGTTTCCCCTGCTTTCCAAGGCGTATTAAACCCTTCCACAGTGAGACCTTTAATAAAACGTGGTCTCCTACCTGGAATTCCAAAGGTTTCCTCCTTTGGTCAGCGTAGCTAGTCTGTCGGTCTCAAGAGGCTTTCAATCGTTCACAAATCTGAACGATCTTCTCTGTTGTTTC